GAGCAGGAAGACCCAAGCCAGTCTGGAAGAAGAATCTGGAACAGTTATAGTACCAAGTATTAAAAGTTACTATTAAGCTATAGTAAGTGAGATAATATGATAATGGCATGAGGGCAGACAAATAGGCCATGGAAAACTATTTGGCAATATCTATTAAAGCTGCATATATGCATATGCTATGACCTAGCAATTCAACTTCTAGCTATATAGCCAACAGAAATGTAAATATGCATCCACAAAAATACATATACTAGAATGTTCACAGCAGCACAATCAATAATAGTCCCAAACTGGAAACAATCCAAAGCCCATCAACAGTAAAATGCACAGGAAAAATAAATTGGGGAATATTCACACAATGGAATACTGTACAGCAATGAAAATGAACAAAAACTACACTTAAAAATATGGATGATTCTCACAAACATGATGAAAAAAGCCAGACCCAAAAGAGTATTTACTATATAAGTCCCATTTATATAAAGTTGAAAATCAGGCAAAACTAATCTGCAGCATAGTATTAAAAGTCAGATTAGTGGTTAGGGAGAATAAAGGGGGCTTCTGGGTTATGTTTTAAGTGGTTATATTGAGTTTTTGAAAATAAATTGAGCTGTACACTTATGATTTATTTACTTTTCTGTTTGGAGCACTTCAGTAACACCTTCAAAAGATAATATTTAAAAATGCAAAACAGGGGCATCTGGCTGGCGCAGTCAGTAGAGCACGTGACTCGGGATCTCAGGGGTCGCAAGTTCAAGCCCCACATTGGGCGTGGAGCCTACTTAAAATTTAAAAAATTAAAAAAATGGAAAACAAAAAATACATTAATCAAAATGATATGTTTGGTTTTTATTTGAATCTTAATTTGAGTAGACCTATTATGAAAAAGAAGCATTTATGAGATAATCAGAAAAGTAAGAATAGTGAGTAGATTTTTTTTTTTAAAGATTTTATTTATTTTTTTGAGACAGAGAGAATGAGAGACAGAGAGCATGAGAGGGAGGAGGGTCAGAGGGAGAAGCAGACTCCCTGCCGAGCAGGGAGCCCGATGCGGGACTCGATCCCGGGACTCCAGGATCATGACCTGAGCCGAAGGCAGTCGCTTAACCAACTGAGCCACCCAGGCGCCCAGTGAGTAGATATTTGATGATATTAAATAATCATGTTACTTCTGATGGTGTGTTAATGGCTATGGATTTTTCTTTTTAGGGTTCTTTGAGATATATACTGAAATAATTCAATGCCTGGGATTCAACTCAGAAAATTCAGTGGCGGATGAGGGAGGAGGGGAAAATACAGATAAAACAATATTATTGGCCATGAACTGATGATTTTTTTTTAAGATTTTATTTATTTATTTGACAGAGAGAGACATAGCGAGAGAGGGAACACAATCAGTGGGAGTGGGAGAGGTTTTTTGTCCCGCCTGGCAGAGAGCCCCGATCCCAGGACCCTGGGATCATGACCTGAGCCGAAGGCAGACACTTAACGGCGAGCCACCCAGGCGCCCCTGAACTGATTATTGAAGCTGGATAATGAATGCTGGGGTGGGGAGGGTATTATACCATTCTCTTTGATTTTGTGTATGTTTGAAATTTTCTATGATAAAAAGCTTTGTGGGGTGGCTGGCTGGCTCAGTCGGTAGAGCATGTGGCTCTTAATCTCAGGGTCATGAGTTCAAGCCCCACATTGGGCATGGAGTCTACTTAAGAAAAAAGTTTTATGGGGTGCCTGGGTGGCTCAGTCGTTAAGCGTCTGCCTTCGGCTCAGGTCATGATCCCAGCGTCCTGGGATCGAGTCCCACATTGGGCTCCCTGCTCAGCGGGAAGCCTGCTTCTCCCTTGCCCATTCCCCCTGCTTGTGTTCCTGCTCTTGCTATCTCTGTTTCTGTCAAATAAATAAATAAAATCTAAAAAAAAAAAAGAAAAAAGTTTTATAATGTATGGTAGTTTTAAATATAGTACTATGGTAATAAAACACCTAAAAGCAACATGAATTTTTAAAGATGTTTATATGTGATTTATTAATTATAAATTTGTTCTTTAAGACTTTTTCTAAATGACTTACTTGCTAGTCCTTGAAGGTAAGTTTGAGTTACTTTATGTACAGTTCTTGAAATATTAATGTAAAAATCTATAACTCATATTTTCTACAGTTACAACTACTCTTGATTTATCCACTCAACAAATATGGGCCCACCCCTTGCTTTATATGTTGAGGATACACCAGAGAAAAGAAAAACCAGGTTTCTATTCTTGTGGGGTTTACATTATAGCGAGAGAAAGAAGTAAACTAATAATTATATAAAACAATTACATAATATAATTAAAATAGTATTAGGGTGGCACACCTAGGTGGCAAAATAGGTTAAGCATCTGACTCTTGGTTTTGGCTCAGGTCATGATATCGGGGTCCTGGGATCAAGTCTGTGACAGGCTCCCCGCTCAGCATGGAGTCCGCTTGAGGTTCCCTCTCCCTCTACCCCTCCCGCTCATGCACTCCCTCTCTCTCTCTCAAATAATTAAATAAATAAACCTTTAAAATGATGATATGGGGGCACCTGGGTGGCTCAGTTCGTTAGTCTGCCTTCGGCTCAGGTCATGATCCCAGGGTCCTGGGATTGAGACCCACATCGGGCTTCCTGCTCATCGGGAGGCCTGCTTCTCCCTCTCCCTCTGCTGCTCCCCCTGCTTGTGCTCTCTAACTCACTCTTGCTCTCAAATAAATAAAATGGTTTAAAAAAAATTTTTTTTAAATAAATAAAAATAAAATGATGATATGATGATGTAACCAGGGTGGGTTTTTCTGCTGTCTAGCTTCACCCAAGTAACAGTTCTGGGACTTTCCCTCCATCATCACTATTGCCCACTGGTGGGGGGAAGTGGCAAGTTCTCACCAGCTGTATTAAAGGGGCTTATTCATGTCCTGGGCTGTTGACAGCAGGAGTGTATACATGGGACCGTTTAGGTGGGAGATCAGCAAAAACTTAGAGCATAGGGTTCAGTGTTCGGGCTGCATAGGCAGCTGTCAATGGAGAGCCAGCTTCTGTGGCCCTTCTCATGGGTTAAGCCCCCACCAGAACCTCACCTAGGATTTCCTCTCTCTCTTCCTCTCTCTCTCTCTCTCCAGTTCCTATTCTCCCCATCAACTTCTTCCTAAATCCCTTTTGTCCCATCTAATGTTCCAGCCAGGAGTTTTTCAACTCGAGTTTGGAAGTTGCGTAGGGGCAGTCATCTGGTTCCCCTTATGTCACCGTCTTACTTAGGGCTCTTCTCAGGACTTTCCCTTAAAAGCCTAGTTTGAAAGTTGCAAACACTGAATATCCCCTTTTCTCTTTGCTTTCCTGCTGAAAGAATCCTAATTCTCCTGGACATCTTTGGTCTCTAGAAAGGGTTTTGAGGTATGGCAAAGAAAGAAAAACCTGTAAGAGTAAAATTTCAGCATCTTCTTTCACTATGTGGTGAAAGAAAGAAGTTGAGTTTCATGAAAGAGTTCTGGGGGCTACTTCAGATAGAGTGGTTGGAGAAGGGGGTGTTTCCTCTGAGGAAGTGACCTTGAAGTCCTTGAAACGGAGCCAGTTATAGGAACAGGTGAGGGAAAGACTCCAGACTGGAGAAATATCAACTGCAATAGTTTGGGAGAGGAGAGAGTCTGGCATAATCCGGAATCTGCCAGAAGCCCAGAGAACTGGAAACCTCTCCTGTTTTCTCACAGCTAACCTTTGCTACTGAGATTCTACTATTAGGACACTACAGCAACCCAAATTTGGATTGGGGGAACTCTATACTTAAGCATTTTAGGATTTTTTTAATAGGCTTATGAACAGTTCATGAACCGTGTTTTTTCCCTCCGTTTATAAGGACATGCAGACATACTGTTTGTTCTCTTTGGCATGCATACCCACAGAACCTAACACGATTCTGGCAACTATGGAAAAAGATAGCTAAAGTCAAGTGCTCCTCAACTGTTCACTAAAGATTTGCATAGATGTTGCTCAAGAGCCTTAAAAGATCATACAAATAAAAATATTTATGGAGGGGCGCCTAGGTGGCTCAGTCGTTAAGCGTCTGCCTTAGGCTCAGGTCATGATCTCAGGGTCCTGGGATCGAGCCCTGCATCAGGCTCCTTGCTCAGTGGGAAGCCTGCTTCTCCTTCTCCCACTCTCCCTGCTTGTGTTCCCGCTCTCACTATGTCTCTCTCTGTCAAATAAATAAAATCTTAAAAAATATATATTTATGGAGAATTTTCAAGGGCTTGGAAGAATGCTTATGTTAAATAAAAATCCAGGTTGCAAAACTACATATTTATTATCTCAATTATTAAAAATATACATGTAGATAATTGGAAAGAAGTACATCAAAACATTAACAGTGGTAATCACTACATGGTGGAAATCTATTACCCACACGTAGGAATTCCAGAAAGGAAGAACAGAGAAAACAAGTAGAATAATTTATTTTTTTTTAAGATTTTATTTATTTGTGAGAGAGAGAGAGAGCATGAGGTGGGAGAGGGATGGAGAGACAAGCAGACTCCCTGCTGAGCAGGGAGCTCGACTTGGGGCTGGATTCCCAGACCCAGAGATCATAACCTGAGCCAAAGACACTTAACCAGCTGAGTCATCCAGGTGCCCTCAATGAATAATTTAAAAACATTTCCCACAACTGAAGGAAATGAGTTGCCAGACTGAAAGAATTCACCAAATGCCCAGCCCAATAGGTGAAAGTAGACACACACCAAGGCATTTCATTACAGAATTTCAGCACACTGAAGGGAAAGAGCAGATTGCTTAAGGTTCCAAAGAGGGGGGAAAAAGGCCACATATAAATGATCAGGAATTGGAATGGCTTTGGACTTCTCAGCAGTAGCAGAAACTAGAAAACACTGTCTTCAAATTTCTGGGGCAAAAATGCCCAGCCCTAATGGTGGCACAGAGGCCGCAGAGTTCCCAGTCTTCAGGAATTACTTGCAGTTGTACAAATAGGCATCTCAGAAGTAACCTGTATAAATCAAAACCTGGAAGGTTCTCCACACGTTTTCTCTGTGTGAAAAACCCCTGGACCTCTTCATAGAGTGTGAATGTGGGAGGGATTTGCAATAGTAATCAAGACTGATGTTTCCAGGTGGAAGAAGAACTCAGGGTCATATTTTTTTTTTCAGGATCATATTTAATATGTGATATTTCTTATACAAACCACCCATGTTTGTGATTATAAAATCATATCTACTATAATAATTATTAGGGTAAATTTTAAAGACATAAAGTTGTAGTAATAATCATGGGTATAAACTAATATTTTTGGAAAATATGCTAATGAGTTCGTGGGTTATATAAAACACTCATTTCTCCAGATTACTAGTAATTTCCAAAAGGTTGCAAATAGAAAGTCCAAGACAGTAGCAAACATTTGTCATCCTTCAATTATTCAGAAAGGCCTACCTACTTGCTTGGAAGGAAATACAGGGAGAACAAAACACAAATTTATATTTCAATAAAATGCAATTCTGTACTAAGATAGTAGAATGCCTATTAAAAATGCTTTTCTTTGGGGTGCCTGGGTGGCTTAGTCATTAAGCGTCTGCTTTCGGCTCAGGTCATGATCCCAGGATCCTGGGATTGAGCCCTACATTGGGCTCCCTGCTTGGTGGGAGGCCTGCTTCTACCCCTTCCACTCCCCCTGCTTGTGTTCCTGCTCTCCCTATCTCTCTGTGTCAAATAAATAAATACAAAATCTTAAAAAAAATAAAAAATAATAAAAATGCTTTTCTTTGTTGTCAAGGTAAGAATAAAGCTCTGTGAAATGATTAGAATCTTTTTTTCCAAGGGATTAAAGGCTTTATTTTTATTTTTAAAAATATAAAGATTTTATTTTTAAGTAATCTCTACACCCAACATGGGGCTCAGACTCATAATCCCAAGACCAAGAGTCACATACTCCACGGGCTGAGCCAGCCAAGCACCATAGCTTTATTTATTTATTTATTTATTTATTTATTTATTTATTTATTTATTTATTTATTTATGTTTCTTTGTTTGTTTTTGAGCAGTTTTAGATTAACCGAAAAGATGAGTGGAAGGTATATAGATATCCCATATATTCCTGATCCCACATATGCATAGCCTCTCCCATTATCAATATTCACCCACCATCAATTTATTACAATGGATGAACCTACATTGACACATCATTATCACCCAAAGTCCTTAGTTTACATTAGGGCTCACTCTTGGTATTGTATGTTCTTTTTTTTTTTTTTAAGATTTATTTATTTATTTGAGAGAGAGTGGGGGGGAGGGGCAGAGGACAAGGGAGAGAGAGAATCTCAAGCAGACTCCCTGCTGAGTGAAGAGCCTGACGTGGGGCTCCAGTATTGTACATTCTGTGGGTTTGGACAAACGTATAATGACATACATCCACCATTATAGTATAGTACATAGCATTTTCACTGCCCTAAAAATCCTCTATGCTAGGAGTGTGTGGGTGGCTCAGTCAGTTAAGCAGCCGGCTGACTTTTGATTTGAGCTCAGAGTTGTGAGATCGAGCCCCACATTGGGCTCTGTGCTGGGCATGGAGCCTGCTTAAGATTCTCTTTCCCTCTCCCTCTGCCCTTCTTCCCCAACTTGCTCTTGTTCTCTCTCTCTAAAAACAATCCTCTGTGCTCTGCCTATTATTCCTCCTTTCCCCAACCCCTAGCAACCACTGATCTTTTCACTGTATCCATAATTCTGCCTTTTCCAGAATGTCAAATAGTTGGAATAATATAGTATATAGCCTTTTCAGATTGGCTTCTTTCATTTAATAATATGCATTTCACTTTCTTCCATGTCTTTTTATGGCTTAATTGTTCATCACTTTTTTCGTGCTGATAAATATTCTATTGTCTGGAGGTACCACAGATTGTTTATGCCCTCACCTACTGCAGAACATATTGGTAGCTTCCGTTATTTTGGCAATTATGAGTAAAGCTGCTAAACATCTGTGTGCAGTTTTTTATGTAAACATAAAACTCCTTTGGGTAAATACTAGGGAGCATGGGGCGCCTGGGTGGCTCAGTTGGTTGAGCGACTGCCTTCGGCTCGGGTCATGATCCCGGAGTCCTGGGATCGAGTCCTGCGTCGGGCTCCTGGCTCAGCAGGGAGCCTGCTTCTTCCTCTGACCCTCTCTCCTCTCATGCTGTTTCTCTCTCTCCCTCTCTCAAATAAATAAATAAATAAAATCTTTAAAAAAAAAATACTAGGGAGCATGATTGCTGGACTGTATAATAAGAATATGTTTAGTTTTGTAGGAAACGACCAAAGTGGTCATACTATTTTGTATTCCCACCCACAATGAATGAAAGTTCTTATTGCTCCACATTCTTACCAGCATTTGGTGTTGTCAGTGTTTTGGATTTTGGCCATTCTAATAGGTATGTAGGGTATCTTGTTGTTTCAATTTACATTTCCCTGATGACATGATGTGGAGCATCTTTTCACATGTTTATTTGCCATCTGTATTCTTCTTTGCTCAGGTCTCTGTTAAGGTCTTTGGCCTGTTTGCCAGCCCCCTCCCAGCTTTATTGACATATAAGTGACAGACAAAATTATATTTAAAGTGTACAGTGTGGCGGCACCTGGCTGGCTCGCTAGGTGGAGCATGCAACACTTGATCCCAGGGTTGTGAGTTCAAGCCCCACGCTGGATGTAGAGATTACTTAAAAATAAAATCTTAAAATTGGGGTGCCTGGGTGGCTCCAGTTGGTTAGGCATCTGACTTCAGCTCAGGTCATGATCTTGGGGCCCTGGGATGGAGCCCCGTGTCAGGCTTTGCGCTCAGTGAAGAGTCTGCTTCTCTCCCTCTCCCTTTGCCCCTCCCCCACTCGTGCTTGTACTCGCTCTCAAATAAATAAAACCTTTTTAAAAAATCTAAAAAAAATGTGCAATGTGGTGATGTATGTATGTATACATTGTGAAAGGAGTCCTCCCATTAACGCGGGCCCATTTTATAATTGCGTTGTTTTCTTATTTTTTAGTTTGAAGTGTTCTTTGCATCTTTTGCATAATTGTCCAAACACATCTTTTGCTAAAATTTTCTCCCAGTATGTGGCTTGTCTTTTCATTCTCTTGATAGTATCTTTCACAGAGCAGAAAATTTTAATTTTAATGAAATCCAACTTACTGATTATTTCTTTCATGGACTGTACTTTTGGTGTTGTATCTAAAAAGTCATCACGAAATCCAAGGTCATCTAGATTGTTTCCTGTGTTGCCTTCGAGGAGTTTTACAGTTTTATATTTTATGTTTATGTGGTCCATTTTGAGTTAATTTTTATAAAGGGTGTAAGGTTTGTGTCTAAATTAATTTTTTTTGCCAAAAGCACTTTTTATATTTATTTTTTAATAAGATTTATTTATTTTAGAGAGAGAGCGAGAGAGCACAAGTGGGAGGGGCAGAGGGAGAGGGCAAGGGAATCTCAAGCAGACTCCACATTGAGCATGAAGCCGGAGGCAGGGCTCAGTCCCACCACCCCAAAATTGTGACCTGAGCTGAAACCAAGAGATGGACGCCTAACCGAATGCACTACCAAGGCACCCCAGCACTTTTTTTTTATTATTATTATATGGTATCACATATGCCCTTGTTTTTTTAAAAGATTTTTTAAATTTATTTGACAGAGAGAGCACAAGCAGAGGGAGAGAGAGGGAGAAGCAGGCTCCCTGCTGAGCAAGGAGCCCAATGTGGGACTCGATCCCAGGACCCTGGGATCACGACCTGGGCCAAAGGCAGCTGCTTAACCGACTAAGCCACCCAGGCCTCCCTCACATATGCTTTTGATACTCTTTTCCTTTTTTAAAGATTTATTTATTTATTCCAGAGAGAGAGGGAGTGCACGAGTGGGAGGGGTAGAGGGAGAGGGAGAATCTCAATTGGACTCCATGCTGAGCTCAGAGCCTGACATGGGGCTTGATCTCACCACCCCAAGATCACAATCTGAGCTGAAACCAAGAGTCAGACACTCAATCGACTGGGCCACCCAGGAGCCCCAGACCCAGCACTTTTTATATGTAAAAATGAATCACTACAGAGAGAAGATAGCAGTATTTCCATTACAAATGACAAAAATCACGTTGAATTTTTTTATTATTGAGATATAATTCATATACCACAAAATTTGCCGTTTTAAGATTTTTTTTTTGAGAGGGAAAGAGAGGGAGAGAGAAGGAGAGAGAGAGAAAGAGACAGAGAGCATGCACGCACATGAGCGAGGGCGGAGGGGCAGAAGGAAAGGGAGAGAGAGAATCTTAAGCAGGCTCCATGCCCAGCCCAGAGCCTCACAACACTGAGATCATGATCTGAGCCAAAATCAAGAATCGGACGCTTAGGGCGCCTGGGTGGCTCAGTCGGTTAAGCATCTGCCTTTGGCTCAGGTCATGATCCCCGGGTCCTGGGATCAAGTCCCACATC